CCTCATTCCATACTCTCTCCGGTCATCCCCCTCTTCCCTCATCCCCGATCCCTCACCCAGCATCTTTCAATCTCTCTCCCTCTCCTACAAGGCGTATTACCCTCCCCCCTAAAGCACGCGCATATCATCACTCCCTCCTCAAAAAGCCCTCCAGGAATCTCGAGGGACCCCAACAACCTCAGACCCAATCTCCCCTGCTGACACTCACCTCCTAAGCTCCTTGAACGCTTAGTCTAACGATTCGCTCTAAGGCTCCTACCTTTACTGACAATAACCTCCTTAGACCCTCTACAGTCCGGCTTCCCGTTTCCCACTACACTCCACTGACAAACCGCCCTCCTCGAAACATCACTAACGGACCTACTCAACGCCAAAAGCCAAAGGGTCGACTACTACTGTCCTCCTTCTCCAGGACCCTCTCTGCGGCCTTCGGACACAGGTTGACCACCCCTGCGCTGAGAGTCTTAATAAACTACTCTCCCTTGGCATCGGAGATGCATGCTCTGTCATCTCTTGGTTCTCAATCCTACCTATCCCGACGCTCCTTCAGTGTCCATCTACAATTGGTGCCACCACCCCCTCCTCTCCCCTCTCTGTTGGGGTCCCCAAGGCTCTGATCCTTTGGACCCCTTCTCTTCTCCATCTACACCTCCTCACTGGGCCAAACTCATACAATCATCACGGCTTCAACTATCACCTCTATGCTGACGGACAAAACCCCAAATCTACCTCTCCACCCCTCACATCTCACCCCACTATCCTGCCGGGCCCCATCACTCACCTCCTAAATGACATCTCAGACTGTATGTCGCTAACATTTCCTCAGAGTTTAACCTCTCCAAAAAACGAGCTTCTCGTCTTTCCCCTGCCCACACCCACCCCCCCCCCCATCCTTATCTTCATCACCAAACATACGCCACTATCACTTCCGCCCCGCATAGCCAAAAGTCCTTGGCGTCATTCTTAGAACGCGAACCTTCTCCTCCCAACGCGCATGTCCAAATCACTTCACAAACACATGGCAGGCTCCATCCTTCGCAACATTGCCAAGATCTCGCTCCTTCCTCACCCCAGGACACCACCAACTTCTCTAGTACTACTCCCTTATCATCTCATCGCCTTGACTACTGCAACTCCTCCTCCACTGGCACCTACCCCAAGTGCAGGCTCCTCTCCGCTGGTCAGACCATCCCTGAAACTCAGCTTGCCAGATCTATCCACCTTACCACCCTCGTCCACCTCTGCCACACCCCTCTGCCTCTCCCTCCACATGGCCTCCCGAGCTTGCCCAACGCATCAAATTTAAACTCCTTAACCTCGGACCTATAAGGCCAATTCACAACACTGCCCCTGACTACCTCACCAAATCTGCTCACCAGGTACCACCTAACCCGTACCCTACGCTCCTCACTCAGGACCTCCCTTCTATCCTGCTCCTGGTCTCCTCCTCCCCATGCACGACTGACTGGACTTCTCCAGGTCCACCTCACCATCCTCTGGAACTTCACAGCCCCTATCCATCTCAGACCTGTCGCCTTCTCTATTCACATTCAGCGCGCTCCTTCAAAAAACCATCTCATCCGGAAGCCTATACCCCACCCTCACCTAACGGCCATTACTCACTTCCATTCATCCTACCACTTCATCCCCCAGCCACTTCCTACTGTACCTTTTATTTACCCTCCTCCCCTCAATAGATTGTACGCCTCGTAAGAGTAGGGCCCTCTCTTACCCCTCGTACGCTGTCTGGCTTTGTTGTACTGTGCCATGTATTGTCTCCCCGCCTATAGTACAGCGCTGAGCAATCCCTTTGCGCTATATAAAACTCGTCGTTAGTAATAATAATAATAATAACTAATATTGGGATTTTTTATTTAGCAACAGACATGCAGCAGAGAAAACAATTTTGGCCGCTAAATTTAATAAAGAAAATTTCATTTTTTTGTCATTTTTAACTCATTCCTGTCCGGACACTTTTACCCCCCTTCCTGTCCAGCGGCAATTTTCAGCTTTCAGCGTCTATCACACTTTGAATGACCAATTGCGCAAGTCATGCAACACAGTTACCATCATATGAATATATTACCATTTTTTTGAGGAACAGATAAAGATTTATTTTGAGTGGTATTTTATTCACCGCTGGTAGTTATATTTTTTGATGCTATGTAAGCTAAAAATGTCCGAAACAAATTTTTTTAAAAAGTGTTTTTTTTATATAAATTTTTACAAATAAATAAATATTCTCATCATAAATCGGGCCAGAATTTATTCCGTCTATCTTTTTAGTAAAAAAAAATCCAAATTAGTTTCATAACCAAAAATTATAATTTAAAAAAAATTTTTTTTAATATTATTTTTATTTTATTTTTTTATATTATTATTATTTTTTTTTTTTTTTTTTTTTTTTTATTTATACCATTACTGTCAACCCTCACCAATGGTGACACTGTACTAACTTGTGGGTGGGTGCTTGAAGATTTTTTTTTTTAAACTGAATGCTTTTTACCCCCATATAGGCTGTAAAAGCAATCATGCTTGGAAGTACTTGCGAATGTTACTGATGTGAGATCTGTGCTTGGACCCAGCTTGTCACACCAATGGTACCAAAGCTTGTTGTGAATTAGCCTTGTTACATGTGACTCATCTGTGATCATTCACTGATTTCACTCACGTAGTAAAGTCATTGAATGTCACAATTGACATCTTGCTTACTTACTTTGCATGTGATCACCTGATTGGCCAATCACTGACTCAACATGAATCGGGACCTCATACACAGAGGTACCCGTCCGACGGGACACCACAGCGTGGCACCGGTTGGGCGGTGATTTGGCTAGCGCGCTCCGAGTGTAGCACGCAACAAAGGCAGGGTAGCGGGGCAGGCCCGTTTATAAACAGGCCACCGACGCCTGCACTGCCCACCGTTCGGGTCACCGACAACCGTGTTTATATGCAACGGTCCGATCGGGAAAGTGGTTAACCCTTTGATGGGCCCTCAGAAGTTTAAACTCCCATCCGTCCAGTGCATTTAGTACAGAGTCTGTGCATTTTATATAACACTGAGCATTGTATTGATGTCATATGGGGATGTCAGTGGCAGTTTTTCAGTTTCTCCCCCAGTGTTAGAATGCCTGTTGCGGTTCCGTGTGCTCCGGTTGCAGAAAAAAAGTAGAACAGGCCTGCATTTTTCCTGCAACAGAAATGTACTGGAACGTGGAAATGACCCGAACGCACCAAAAAAATATCACTGGAACGCCACACGTTCCCTATTTAAAATTGCTAGAAAAATGAGAGGAGGAAAAAAAATGAACTCGGAATGCCCTATAATATAAAACACCTCAAAAACGCACATGCAGAGATGCCTCCGGAAACTAGCGGTCTCTAAGAGTGAACCGGCCCTCCAAGTGTAACTAAAGTAAACCTAAGTTTTTTTTTTTTTTTTTATATTTTTATTTTTTTGTGTTTTTTTTCATTTTTTAAGTGTTTTTTTTTTTTTTTATTTTTTTCAGTTCTGGAATGGAGTGGAGATAGATTAGAACACCTGTCCAGGTTTTTTGTTGGGCTGTGTCCCCATGAGTGGAGATTTCACCCTCCTTATCCGGTTAACAGTTATCATCAAAAGTGAAAGAGAAATTCTCTAAACTTTGGGTTTGTCCCCCAGAACAGTAATAGACTAGAGGGGCAATCTTCCAATGGCGGGAACACTGAAAACCTAAAGAAAAAAAAGCACAACTGAAACGCTCTGTAGTCGTGAACTGGCCCTAAACCCACAACAGTACAATCCGGTCTGTAGATGCAAGTAAAGTATGCTTCGTTATACTCACTGTGGAACTTAAGGGGTTTATCCTCTGCATTGTGTAAAAAGGCTGTTTGATCCTGTCTATCTCTTGGATCCTCCCCTTCCTCCACAATTCCCCATCTCATCTCCACATAATATGAACAGAGCCTCGGGGACCGCTCTGACTCAGTTTAGTGTGTACTGCTAGAGAGTTTTTCTCTTTTTCTTGGGAGGCCTGCATGTGAATTAGCACATGGGACCCAATAAGTCACTTGTCCAGAAGAAGGGTCCGGGGTCAAGCAGCCTCACTTAGGACAGTCAGAGGAAGGGAAGAAAACTCCTACTACCTAAGTGTTTTTAACCAGGATGCACTAGCTGGAACAAGTAATAGAAGTCACAAGAAACTGCTCTACCTGCTGATGAGAAAAGGTAATTTAGCAGTTTTAATAATTTACTAACATATTTGCATTTTCCTTGTTCTGTGTGCTGGTGGGTGAACCAAGATATAGGGAATGGCAGGGTCTGGGGATGAGCGGAATATAGTGAATGCAGGGTACCGGGGAGAAGTGGATCATAGTGAATGCAGGGTACCGGGGAGACCAGTTTATATAGTGAATGCAGGGGTCCGGGGAGAGTGGGTATAGTGAATGCAGGGTCCGGGGAGACACAGATATAGTGAATGCGAGGTCCGGGGAGAGCAGATATAGTGAATGCAGGGTCCGGGGGAGACCAGATATAGTGAATGCAGGGTCCGGGGAGACTAGATATTGTGAATGCAGGGTCTGGGGAGAACGGATTTAGTGAATGCAGGGTCCAGAGACACCAGATATAGTGAATGCAGGGTCCTAGGAGAGCGATAATAGATGAATGCAGGGTCCAGGGAGACCGAATATGGTGAATGCAGGGTCCGGGGAGACCAAATCTAGTGAATGCAGAGTCCTGGGGAGACCAGGATATAGTGAATGCAGGGTCTGGGAGAGAGCGGATATAGTGAATGCAGGGTCCAGGTTAGGAGACCTCTAGATATAGTGAATGCAGGGTCCAGGGAGACCAGATATAGTGAATGTAGAGTCCGGGGAGACCAGATATAGTGAAAGCAGGGTCCGGGGAGAGCGGATATAGTGAATTTGCAGGGTTCCAGGGAGACCAGATATAGTGAAAGCAGGGTCCAGGGAGAACAGATATAGTGAATGCAGAGTCCTGGGAGCTGGGAGACCAGATATAGTGAATGCAGGGTCCGGGGAGACAGATATAGTTGAATGCAGGGTCCAGGAGACCAGATATAGTTTGAAATGCTGAGTCCAGGGAGACCAGATATAGATGAATGCAGGGTCCTGGGAGACCAGATATAGTGGAAGCATGGTCCCTGGGAGAGCCAATATAGTGAATTCAGGGTCCGGGGAGAGCGGATATAGTGGATGCAGGTCCTGGGAGAGCGGATATTGTGAATACAGGGTTTGGGGAGACCGGATACAGTGAATTCAGGGCCCGGGGAGACCTGATATAATGAATGCAGGGTCCGGGGAGAGTGTATATAGTGAATGCAGGGTCGGGGAGAGCGGATATAGTGAATGCAGGGGTCGGGGAGACCGGATATAGTGAATGCTGGGTCCGGGGGAGAGACCAGATATAGTGAATGCAGGGTTCCAGGGAGACCAGATATAGTGAATGCAGGGTCCGGGGAGAGCAGATATAGTGAATGCAAGGTCGGGAAGACCAGAATATAGTGAATGCAAGGGTCCGGGAGACTAGATATAGTGAATGCAGGGTCCTAGGAGAGCGGATATAGTGAATGCAGGGTCCAGGGAGACCGGATATGGTGAATGCAGGGTCCGGGGAGACCAAATATAGTGAATGCAGAGTCCTGGGAGACCAGATTCATAGTGAATGCAGGGTCTGGGAGAGCGGATATAGTGAATGCAGGGTCCGGGGAGACCAGATATAGTGAATGCAGGGTCCAGGGAGACCAGATATAGTGAATGCAGGGTCCGGGGAGAGCGGATATAGTGAATGCAGGGTCCAGGGAGACTAGATATAGTGAAAGCAGGTCCAGGGAGACCAGATATAGTGAATGCAGAGTCCTGGGAGCTGGGAGACCAGATATAGTGAATGCAGGGATCCGGGGAGACCAGATATAGTGAATGCCAGGGTCCTGGGGACCAGATATAGTGAATGCTGAGTCCAGGGAGACCAGATATAGTGAATGCAGGGTCCCAGGGGAGACCAGAGTATAGTGAATGCAGGGTCTGGGAGAGCCGATACTAGTGAATTCAGGGTCCGGGAGAGCGGAAATCATAAAAGTGGATGCAGGGTACAGGGAGACCAGAATATAGTGAATGCAGGGTCCGGGGAGAGCGGATAAAGTGGATGCAGGGTCCGGGGAGACCAGATATAGTGAATGCAGGATCCTGGGATCAGTAGCGGATATTGTGAATAGCAGGCGGTTTGGGGAGACCGGATACAGTGAATTCAGGGCCCGGGGAGACCTGATATAATGAATGCAGGGTCCGGGGAGAGTGTATATAGTGAATGCAGGGTCCGGGAGAGAGTGGATATAGTGAATGCAGGGTCCGGGGAGACCAGATATAGTGAATGCAGGGTCCGGGGAGACCAGATTATAGTGAATGCAGGGTCCGGGGAGACCAGATATAGTGAATGCCAGGGTCCGGGGATGCAGAGCAGATATAGTGAATGCAAGGTCCGGGAAGACCACATATAGTGAATGCAGGGTCCGGGGAGACTAGGATATAGTGAATGTAGGGTCCCGGGGAGACCAGATATAGTGAATGCAGGGTCCAGGGACACCAGATATAGTGAATGCAGGGTCCTAGGAGAGCGGATATAGTGAATGCAGGGTCCAGGGGAGACCGGATATGGTGAATGCAGGGTCCGGGAGACCAAATATAGTGAATGCAGAGTCCTGGGAGACCAGATATAGTGAATGCAGGGTCTGGGGAGATCGAATATAGTGAATGCAGGGGTCCGGGGAGACCAGATATAGTGAATGCAGGGTCCAGGGAGACAGATATAGTGAAAGCAGGGTCCAGGGAAACCAGATATAGTGAATGCAGAGTCCTGGGAGCTGGGAGACCAGATATAGTGAATGCAGGGTCCGGGGAGACCAGATTTAGTGAATGCAGGGTCCAGGAGACCAGATATAGTGAATGCTGAGTCCTGGGTGAGACCAGATATAGTGAATGCAGGGGCCGGGAGACCAGATATAGTGAATGCAGGGTCCTGGGAGAGCCAATATAGTGAATTTTCAGGGTCCGGGGAGAGCGGATATAGTGGATGCAGGGTACAGGGAGACCAGATATAGTGAATGCAGGATCCTGGGAGAGCCAGATATAGTGAATTCAGGGTCCGGGGAGAGCGGATATAGTGAATGCAGGGTACAGGGGAGACCAGATATAGTGAATGCAGGGTTCGGGGAGAGCGGATATTGTGAATTCAGGGCCCGGGAGACCTGATATAATGATGCAGGGTCCGGGGAGACTAGATATAGTGAATGCAGGGTCCGGGGAGAGCGGATATAGTGAATGCAGGGTCCGGGAGAGCAGATATAGTGAATGCAGGGTCTGGGGAGACCAGATATAGTGAATGCAGGGTCCGGGGAGACCAGATATAGTGAATGCAGGGTCCGCGGAGACCAGTTATAGTGAATGCAGGGTCCGGGAGAGCGGATATAGTGAATGCAGGGTCCAGGGAGACCAGATATATTGAATGCAGGGTCCGGGGAGACCAGATATAGTGAATGCAGGTCCACAGGGAGAGCGGATATTGTGAATACAGGGTTTGGGGAGACCGGATACAGTGAATTCAGGGTCCGGGGAGACCAGATATAATGAATGCAGGGTCCGGGGAGAGTGTATATAGTGAGTGAATGCAGGGAGAGGGGAGAGTGGATATAGTGAATGCAGGTCCGGGGAGACCGGATATAGTGAATGCAGGGTCCGGGGAGACCAGATATAGTGAATGCAGGGTCCGGGGAGAGCAGATATAGTGAATGCAAGGGTCCGGGAAGACCACATATAGTGAATGCAGGGTCCGGGGAGACTAGATATAGTGAATGTAGGGTCCGGGGAGACCAGATATAGTGAATGCAGGGTCCAGGGACACCAGATATAGTGAATGCAGGGTCCTAGGAGAGCGGATATAGTGAATGCAGGGTCCAGGGAGACCAGATATGGTGAATGCAGGGTCCTCGGGGAGACCAAATATAGTGAATGCAGAGTCCTGGGAGACCAGATATAGTGAATGCAGGGTCTGGGGAGAATCGGATATAGTGAATGCAGGTTACGGGGAGACCAGATATAGTGAATGCAGGGTCCAGGGAGACCAGATATAGTGAAAGCAGGGTCCAGGGAGACCAGATATAGTGAATGCAGGTCCCTGGGAGCTGGGGAGACCAGATATAGTGAATGCAGGGTCCGGGGAGACCAGATTTAGTGAATGCAGGGTCCAGGAAGACCAGATATAGTGAAATGCTGCAGGTCCGGGGAGACCAGATATAGTGAATGCAGGGGCCGGGGAGACCAGATATAGTGAATGCAGGGTCCTGGGAGAGCCAATATAGTGAATTCAGGGTCCGGGGAGACCAGATATAGTGAATGCAGGGTCCAGGGAGACCAGATATAGTGAATGCAGGGTTTGGGGAGAGCGGATATTGTGAATTCAGGGCCCGGGGAGACCTGATATAATGAATGCAGGGTCCGGGGAGAGTGTATATATAGTGAATGCAGGGTCCGGGGAGAGCGGATATAGTGAATGCAGGGTCCGGGGAGAGCGGATATAGTGAATGCAGGGTCCAGGGAGACCAGGATATAGTGAATGCAGGTCCAGGGAGACCAGATATAGTGAATGCAGAGTCCTGGGAGCTGGGAGACCAGATATAGTGAATGCAGGGTCCGGGGAGACCAGATATAGTGAATGCAGGGTCCAGGGAGACCAGATATAGTGAATGCTGAGTCCAGGGAGACCAGATATAGTGAATGCAGGGTCCGGGGAGACCAGATATAGTGAATGCAGGGTCCTGGGAGAGCCGATATAGTGAATTCAGGGTCCGGGGAGAGCGGATAAAGTGGATGCAGGGTACAGGGAGACCAGATATAGTGAATGCAGGGTCCGGGGAGAGCGGATAAAGTGGATGCAGGGTCCGGGGAGACCAGATATAGTGAATGCAGGATCCTGGGAGAGCGGATATTAGTGAATACAGGGTTTGGGGAGACCGGATACAGTGAATTCAGGGCCCGGGGAGACCTGATATAATGAATGCAGGGTCCGGGGAGAGTGTATATAGTGAATGCAGGGTCCGGGGAGAGTGGATATAGTGAATGCAGGGTCCGGGGAGACCGGATATAGTGAATGCAGGGTCCGGGGAGACCAGATATAGTGAATGCAGGGTCCGGGGAGACCAGATATAGTGAATGCAGGGTCCGGGGAGAGCAGATATAGTGAATGCAAGGTCCGGGAAGACCACATATAGTGAATGCAGGGTCCGGGGAGAGACTAGATATAGTGAATGTAGGGTCCGGGGAGACCAGATATAGTGAATGCAGGGTCCAGGGACACCAGATATAGTGAATGCAGGGTCCTAGGAGAGCGGATATAGTGAATGCAGGGTCCGGGAGACCGGATATGGTGAATGCAGGGTCCGGGGAGACCAATATAGTGAATGCAGGGTCCGGGGAGACCAGATATAGTGAATGCAGGGTCTGGGGAGATCGGATATAGTGAATGCAGGGTCCGGGGAGACCAGATATAGTGAATGCAGGGTCCAGGGAGACCAGATATAGTGAAAGCAGGGTCCAGGGAGACCAGATATAGTGAATGCAGAGTCCTGGGAGCTGGGAGACCAGATATAGTGAATGCAGGGTCCGGGGAGACCAGATTTAGTGAATGCAGGGTCCAGGGAGACCAGATATAGTGAATGCTGAGTCCGGGGAGACCAGATATAGTGAATGCAGGGGCCGGGGAGACCAGATATAGTGAATGCAGGGTCCTGGGAGAGCCAATATAGTGAATTCAGGGTCCGGGGAGAGCGGATATAGTGGAATGCAGGGTACAGGGAGACCAGATATAGTGAATGCAGGATCCTGGGAGAGCCGATATAGTGAATTCAGGGTCCGGGGAGAGCGGATATAGTGGATGCAGGGTACAGGGAGACCAGATATAGTGAATGCAGGGTTCGGGGAGAGCGGATATAGTGAATTCAGGGCCCGGGGAGACCTGATATAATGAATGCAGGGTCCGGGGAGAGTGTATAGTGAATGCAGGGTCCGGGGAGAGCGGATATAGTGAATGCAGGGTCCGGGGAGAGCAGATATAGTGAATGCAGGGTCTGGGGAGACCAGATATAGTGAATGCAGGGTCCAGGGGAGACAGATTTAGTGAATGAAGGGTCCGCGGAGACCAGTTATAGTGAATGCAGGGTCCGGGGAGAGCGGATATAGTGAATGCAGGGTCCAGGGAGACCAGATATATTGAATGCAGGGTCCGGGGAGACCAGATATAGTGAATGCAGGATCCTGGGAGAGCGGATATTGTGAATACAGGGTTTGGGAGACCGGATACAGTGAATTCAGGGTCCGGGGGAGACCTGATATAATGAATGCTGGGTCCGGGGAGAGTGTATATAGTGAATGCAGGGTCCGGGGAGAGTGGATATAGTGAATGCAGGGTCCGGGGAGACCGGATATAGTGAATGCAGGGTGCGGGGAGACCAGATATAGTGAATGCAGGGTCCGGGGAGAGCAGATATAGTGAATGCAAGGTCCGGGAAGACCACATATAGTGAATGCAGGGTCCGGGGAGACTAGATATAGTGAATGCAGGGTCCGGGGAGACCAGATATAGTGAATGCAGGGTCCAGGGACACCAGATATAGTGAATGCAGGGTCCTAGGAGAGCGGATATAGTGAATGCAGGGTCCCAGGGAGACCAGATATGGTGAATGCAGGGTCCGGGGAGACCAAATATAGTGAATGCAGAGTCCTGGGAGACCAGATATAGTGAATGCAGGGTCTGGGGAGATCGGATATAGTGAATGCAGGGTACGGGGAGACCAGATATAGTAAATGCAGGGTCCAGGGAGACCAGATATAGTGAAAGCAGGGTCCAGGGAGACCAGATATAGTGAATGCAGGGTCCGGGGAGACCAGATATAGTGAATGCAGGGTCCAGGAAGACCAGATATAGTGAATGCTGAGTCCGGGGAGACCAGATATCGTGAATGCAGGGGCCGGGGAGACCAGATATAGTGAATGCAGGGTCCTGGGAGAGCCAATATAGTGAATTCAGGGTCCGGGGAGAGCGGATATAGTGAATGCAGGGTACAGGGAGACCAGATATAGTGAATGCAGGATCCTGGGAGAGCCGATATAGTGAATTCAGGGTCCGGGGAGAGCGGATATAGTGGATGCAGGGTACAGGGAGACCAGATATAGTGAATGCAGGGTTCGGGGAGAGCGGATATTGTGAATTCAGGGCCCGGGGAGACCTGATATAATGAATGCAGGGTCCGGGGAGAGTGTATATAGTGAATGCAGGGTCCGGGGAGAGCGGATATAGTGAATGCAGGGTCCGGGGAGAGCAGATATAGTGAATGCAGGGTCTGGGAGAGACCAGATATAGTGAATGCAGGGTCCAGGGAGAGCAGATATAGTGAATGAAGGGTCCGCGGAGACCAGTTATAGTGAATGCAGGGTCCGGGGAGAGCGGATATAGTGAATGCAGGGTCCAGGGAGACCAGATATAGTGAATGCAGGGTCCGGGGAGAGCGGATATAGTGAATGCAGGGTCCGGGGAGAGCGGATATAGTGAATGCAGGGTCCTGGGAAAGCAGATATAGTGAATGCAGGGTCCTGGGAAAGCAGATATAGTGAATGTAGGGTCCGGAGAGAGCGGATCTAGTAAATGCAGGCAGTGTCTGGCCGGAGACAGCGGATATAGTGAATGCAGGGTCAGCCAGATATAATTAGACCCTCTCAGCAACAATAGAGCCCCAGCAGCAACATCAAATCTGTAAACCCTTCATCAGCCAGCAATCATAGACCCCCTCCTAGCAACAAATGATCGCCCAGAAAGATGAGACCTCCTCCAGCAACAATAGATCCCCTAGCATCAAGCATCAATAGACCCTCCAGCACACTCCAGCACCCCTTGCCATTACATACATCCAGTGCTGGAGGTGCCGGAACTGCGTTCCCCCCGCGTTCCCGCTGAGAATAAGCCCTGGACAACAAGAACACATACGCCTGCAACATCCGGAGCCATTAGACAGTCCATTTAACCTTGTCATATAGGAGGACAGTACATACAGCAGACGGTGTCATGTATGACATACCTGGAGGATATAAATAGACCCTCAGCCTCACAATGGTTTGATGCCTTCTCATTGAACGTGTCACTGTTGGAGCTGATCCCTCATCTCCTTCCTTCCATACTCCGCATGGTGGTAAGTGTTTATGAATGGAGCTATTTGAAGAGATATCTTCCCTATTCATAGACAATGAAAGGAACCCATTGTCCATAGTTAATGCCTCTGCAGTTTAGGCGACAACTCAGGACGCTGACACATTCTGGAATACAAGTTATTGCACTCATTGTTGTCTCTTTAGATAGCATTAATGAGGAAAGTTTAAAAAATGAATAACAAAAAAAAATGTCTTAACCACTTCCAGTCCGGACACTTTCACCCCCATTCCTGTCCAGGCCAATGTTCAGCTTTCAGCACTATCACACCTTGAATGGCAATTGAGCGGTCGATACAACACTGTACTCATTTTCATTTTTTTAGCATTTTTTTCAGACAGATAAAACTTTATTTTGGTGGTATTTATTCACCACTGGGATTTTTATTTTTTGTTATATAAACAAAAAAAGTCAAAAAATTTTTGAAAAAAAAAAGTTTTTTTAAAAAAAATTTTGCTAATAAATAACACTGTTCAACAAATTTTTATTTTTTTGCCAGTTTTGGAAACAAAAGGATCCATTTCTTAATGAATTTCACATTCTGAGTTCAAATATAACAATGAAATTTGTCAATTGGCTCTAGTTTTTCTGTAAACGGAACGTTTTCTACTATAGGCGTAATGACTACATAATGCACAATAATTATATAGATAGATGTCTTTCCACAAATATAAAGCAAGTGATATTGACTACATAACAAAGCCTAAATGGCATAATATATTGCATAGGATTACCAAGAAAAATTATAGCCATAAGCTACGTTGAATCATTTTAATACTTAGGATTCTCACTAGTTTTGTCTTCAGTTTGTGTCGTAGTAAAAAAAAATAACTCAAATTAGGTTATAACCAAAATGTATAATTTTTCAAAAAATGTTTTTTTTAAATATTATTATTTATGGGTTTTTTTTTTTTTTTTTAACATACTGTCACCCTAGCAGTACAGTGTCACCATAGAGACACTGTACTACTTTTGGGGGGGTAATAAAGATTTTTTTTTCTTTTTTTACACTGATTGCTTTTACACCCATAAAGGCTGTAAAAGAAATCATTTCTCCTTCTCTCTGGCTGCATTCTTGCAGCCATTGAGAAATACTGTGGTACCTACATGGTTCATGGTTCACAATACATGGTTGTGAATAGCTGTGTACCATGTGACCTCTGTGATCATTCACAGATTTCACTAGTAGTAAGCAATGATGTCAGGAAGTGACATCTTGCTTACTACTATTCATGTGATCACAGGTTGGCCAATCAGTGATCACATGATCGGGACCTCAAACAGAGGTCCCGTACAGCGATTGGTGTTCTGCCACGTCTGGAGGACACAGCGAGCACCGATCGCTGTGCTGTGCTCTCCAAAAGAGCGCGCACCGTCAAAGGATGTGGGGGGGGGGGACATTTAGAAATGTCCACCCGCTTCAGCACTGCTCCCGTCCAGCTGTTTATGTACATAGGTCGGACGGGAAGTGGTTAAAGTTGGCCATCGAGCGACTTTTGTATTTCATCATTAACTCATATTCTTACTCAGTTCAAAACTAAAAAAAATGTTTCTTTTGTTATCTTTTATTTTTATATATACTATAGATGTTTAAAGCAGAACTAAACGCTCTCAATCAGCATTTATTATTATTACTATTATACAGGATTTATATATTATTACTATTGTACATGATTTATATCTTATTATTATTATTATACATGATTTATATATTATTCCTATTATACAGGATTTATATATTATTATTATTATTGTACATGATTTATATATATTATTCCTATTATACAGGATTTATATATTATTATTATTATTATACAGGATTTATATATTATTACTATTATACATGATTTATATATTATTCCTATTATACAGGATTTATATATTATTATTATTATACATGATTTATATATTATTACTATTATACAGGATTTATATATTATTATTATTATTATTATACAGGATTTATATATTATTATTATTATTATACATGATTTATATATATTATTACTATTATACATGATTTATATATTATTATTATTATACAGGATTTATATATTATTACTATTATACATGATTTATATATTATTATTATTTATTATACAGGATGTATATATTATTATTATTATTATTATACAGGATTTATATATTATTATATTTATACATGATTTATATATTATTATTATTATTATTATTATTATTATTATACAGGATTTATATATTATTACTATTATACATGATTTATATATTATTACTATTATACAGGATTTATATATTATTATTATTATATAGGATTTATATATTATTATTATTATTATTATACAGGATTTATATATTATTACTATTATACAGGATTTATATATTATTACTATTATTATACATGATTTATATATTATTATTATTATTATTATACATGATTTATATATTATTTCCTATTATACAGGATTTATATATTATTATTATTATTATTATTATTATTATACATGATTTATATATTATTCCTATTATACAGGATTTATATATATTATTATTATTATTATTATTATTATACATGATTTATATATTTATTATTCCTATTATACAGGATTTATATATTATTATTATTATACATGATTTATATATTATTCCTATTATACAGGATTTATACATTATTATTATTATTATTATTATACAGGATTTATATAGCACCAACAGTTTACTCAGCACTTTACAATATAAAGGGGGACAGTACAATTACAATACGGTTCAATACAGAAAGAAGTGGAGGGCTCTGCTCATGGAGCTGTAACCGCTTCCTGACCGCGCCATAGTAGAAATACTGCTACAGGGCGGCACGGGTGTGCAAAATCATGTATATATGAGTGATATTACATTTCCGGGCAGCAGGCGTACCGCCATTCGCGGCCACGGCTGTCAATCACCAAGTCCCGGCCGGTAATTACTCACCGGCGCCCAGTGATTGCTGAGTATCTCCAATGGGGAGCAGAACTATTTGTAAACAAAACAACTCTCCTCCCTGTCAGCTCCTGCACACTGCTTTGGATGGCTGTGCACATGCATTCACTATATCTGGTCTCTCCGGACCCTGCATTCACTATATCTGCGCTCCCTGGACCCTGCATTCACTATATCCGCTCTACCCAGACCCTGCATTCACTATATCTGCACTCCCCGGACCCTGCATTCACTATATCCGCTCTCCCTGGACCCTGCATTCACTATATCCGCTCTCCCCAGGACCCTGCATTCACTATATCTGGTCTCCCCCGGACCCCGCATTCACTATATCTGCACTCCCCGGACCCTGCATTCACTATATCCGCTCTCCCTGGACCCTGCATTCACTATATCCGCTCTCCCCGGACCCTGCATTCACTATATCTGCGCTCCCCGGTCCCTG